AGAGCGGTTAAAAGTCATATGCTCAATTTTAATTTCTTTGCTGTGAACAATAACAAAGATCATCTAAATAAGTAACTTTAGTATTGTTTGGGATTGTGCCAGTGACTGGTAACTATTTATTCCATATAAAGAGGCCAGTAACAAGAATAGGGGGGGTTAGAAGGATGAGCTTACTGGTCTGGTAAAAAAACGACGGATTATTTTAACCTTCCAAGCTATGGAAACGAGTTCGTTTCTTTGTTTTGTTTTTAGAACTCTGGCTGGAGCAATAGCTTCACCCGACATCTGGTCTTTGTCACTTAACTGCATTTTGATGCCGCCTGGACAGGCAAGAATTTAGCCAATGGATATATGACACCTAGTTTTTGGTAGTACATTTGCGTCGAGTGTCCTTTCCAATGTGAAGTTGCAAAATTCGACTAAGTTACAAATTAGTTACTGTATATAATATGATTTTATAACTAGTCTGGGCTTTAAAAATATACATTAGTCCCATGATTACAGTTGACAGTCAAGTGCTTGATATTGTGATTAAAAACAAAGGATGTTTTGGAAAGGAATATTGAAAAAGCTTAAAAAATATAGGAATTAGATATTAGATTCAAATAAAAAATATATTTAGCTGGAAACATGAAGATGAAATAATAACCCTTTTTCAAGTCTCTCACCACAATTTCTGTAGTGTCAAGGAAGAATTGTCTGTTGAAAATTTATTATAGATAAATAAATTATGAGTGAGTTAGAAATTAATTTCACAAAATTCTTGGTTTTTCTACTTAAGTAGTTTTTCTTTTAGATTTAATTATTAATTTATGATAGCTAATTAAATATTAATAATAGTAAAAAATATTTTTTATTAATAATTTATTGTTTTGGATTTCAAAATTCATTATAAAAACAAGGTGGATGAAGAGTCTAAATCATAATTTTTTTGAATTTTTACACATTATTCTTTACCTTATATTTTAGTTTTTTTATTGTTATTTCATGCCTTAGTTTTCCTCTCAAATTTATATCTTAGGTTTGCATTATTGAGAAATATTTGAATTTTATATTCGCTAATTCAAAAATCTTGATTTGAAAGTACTTCTTAATATGTTATTGAAATTTTAAAAAATTTGAAAGTACCTCTTAATATGTTATTGAAATTTTAAAAAACATGGCTTTTTATATATGTATATATATCAACTACACAAATAATGACTAATGAAATCTCGAGGATAAATGATTTGTCTTGGATAACAACAAAAATATTAACTACTTTAAAGTTCTTCAAAAAATAAATATATTTTTTAATTTTAATTTAAGTATAGTTAATTCAAATATTTTTAACTTAAGTTTATGGATGTAGACATATATAAAATCCAGTTTTTTATACAATATCTTTTATGACAAACTATTAATTCATGCTAATTATTTTTAAACAATGATCTTATTACAATAAACCAAACATATTTGCATATTACTCTAGTATATTTATAATCTTTGATAATAAGTAAACATGTAGATAGGATATTTTTCACTTGATAAATCTTTATCAGTGACTATGCATGTTTCGTAACCACATCTAATCTGCAAGTTATTCTATATATTTTTATCTTGCTGGAGTAAGAAAAACACGATTTTAGATCAATTTTAAACCATAAAAAACATGTTTATTTTTGAAATTTAATCAAAGGCAAGTTATCCACATAAAAAACAACCACCCTATATAATAAATATTCACTTCACAAAACCATCTAGATGGTGGTCAAATGATAAAAACTTGAGATCAAGTGGTTTGTTTTTTATGTGGCATCAGGTTCAAGTTTTTGGTTGCTTATATAATGGCCACTAGAGACTTACATGATCATTAACTTTAAGCACATGAAATTAGTCAGGCACATAAAATTAGTCGTAATACGTGTAAGTTGACTCAAACATCTATATTAATCTAAAAAAATATTCACTGCACAGCGATACAAATTTTACTTTATGGACGTAGATTTGGATGTGCTGGCTGACATGGTAAATGAAATTGCTAGTATTTTTGTTTTAGATGTGAATTTAAGCGAGGAATTGGTTTTTTATTCGTAAATAGACAATTTGGCTATAACTTTTCTATAAAAGATTTTATCTTGACGTAAAAGGGTGGTAAAAGAATATCTAGGCCACTCATAAAGAAAAGATTCATATGAACACAACAACAAATGTATTATTGGTTTCTTTCAAATCATTCGAGAAACGTTTTTATTCACACCAAATTTTTTTTCTTGCCACCGAACGAAGTAAAGTGATGGGGACGTTACGTGGAGAAGAACAGGAAGAGGTAGAAAATATCAACGGTGACACGTCATCTCATTAATCCGAGCGCAGAAGGGCGTCGAAGGTGAAAAGCATCTTGAAGAAGTATCCCACGGTGGCATGTATATCACGTGATTACAAAGTGATCATCGAGTACGGGAGGAGCCATAGAAACTACAGAACACACGAGCCCACTTGTCCTTCTTGAACACCTATTGGTCCTCATAATTTCTCTCGATAAAAAAATATCTGCCCCAAGTGGTAGACAACCAGATCTAATCTTCTCATTGCCCATCCATCGTAGATTTCCAATTTGTCGGAAACCGAGAGAAAACTTTATTTTCTATCAAGATGGTACTCTGGGGCCACCACGTTACCGGTCCATGTTCTGCTCGTGAGGTGTTTGTTTTTTTAAGAAATATATTTTTAAATTTTTTAAATATTTAAATTTTAACTTTTTTATGATTATTGAAAATAAATTTTAAAAACACATGAAAATATATTTTAAAACATTGAAAAAATAAAAATTTTAAAAACACTTTTTATCCAAATGCAGCCCACCATATTATTGGTACATGTTATGCGTGAAAGGTATATTTTTAATATTTTTATTTAATGTTTTTATAATTTTAAAGTGTTTTGTTGTGCCAGCATTAAAAAATAAATTTTTAAAAATATATGAAAAATATATTTTGATTTATTTTTAAGTAAAAAAATTAAAAAGTAATTATTATTACAATTTCAAACACTAAAATCATCAAAAAAAATTATCATGGTTTTACAATGCATTATATTTTTTAAGTATTTTTTACTTTAAAACATATTATTTTTTTATATTTTTAATTTCAATACATCAAACACATTAAAAAATTAAAAAAACTTTAAAAAATATCAATTTAATATTTTATAAGATAAGCACTCTTTTAAAATGCACCCAGGTATAGTTAAAAATACAATATCTGCCACTTAACAACCACGTCCTTTGCACATCTCATCTCATGCAATGCTTGGTTACAATATCAAGACAGATGAGACAAAATCAATAACAATAATAGTGTATGTAATTTAGAAAATAGATAAAAATATCAAGATAAATTTACAATAAAAACAATTTTAAAATGAGTTGCTGTACTTTAAAATCAGGAAATATACAAGAAATATTTTTTAAAAGATAATATTTTTTATTTTTAAAATATATATGTAAAAATCTTTCAATTCTAAAATTGTTTTAAAAAATATATAAATAGTTGTTATTATTATTTTAAAATTCAATTAGAAATTCAATTCAGGTATGGATCCAGATTATGAATTGAGCTTATCCAAATTAGTAAAGAAATAAAAATAATTATTATAACAGTTTTAAAACTTGATTTACAAAATTAACTTTTAGTAAAATTTTTACCACGAGGTAAGTTAATCATTGATTTAAGTCAATATAAAAATAAAAATAACTGTTATTATAATTTTAAAATTTCATTTTAAGGTCATCTAGGGCAATGCCTAAATCACAATTTGAAAAGGCCAATCTAGATTTGAACATGTTTAATATAAAAACAAAAAAAATATTATAACAGTTTTAAAAATCAATTTAGAGTTGATTTGATGCAAAATCCAGATCATGATTAGGAAGGGTAAACTCGAGTTGATAAAAAAAAATAAAAAAAAATCAATGCAATTCTATCTTCACAGAAAAATTCAATAGATTTTTTATCTGTATTTTATCCTAAACTGACTTAAACTTTTTATTAAGTAATATTCAATTAATTCTTTATT